GGGGCTCGATCCCAGGACCCTGGGATCATGACCTGAGCCGAAGGCAGACGCTTAACGACTGAGCCACCCAGGTGCCCGGTTTTACCCCAGTTCTAATGATCAGTAACCTCCTTTACCTTTTAGGCACAGTCTCAAAACCATAGGAACTTAAAGTAACATCAAATTTAATTATGAAGGAGGAGCTGAAAGGAGTAGAGTATAGAGCTGGGAAGATCAAGGAAATGGGCTTTCCTCCATACAAGCCCTTCTAGGGGGGTTCTTCCTGCCCTAGCAGTTAGATTAAAGGTCCTTAACATTTTCCTTAGCCTGAGAGAATCCCAACCTCCTGCCTCCCCAGAACTGAGGCTGGAAAGAACTACTCCAAAATAAAAACTAAGTTCAAGTTCTGTGTTTCAATAAATCTTCACTCTCTAGGAAAAATCCAGTATTTTAGGAATGACAAAGTAGAGGAAGCCCTCCTTGAAAGCTTGTAAAGGAAAAGGAATATAGTAAGGTCTTTTGGTTCCTGGATCAATTCAAAGGCCTGTTTTACTCACAAAATAAGTGAACTATATAATACTACAGCCTCCTACCATAGGCTATAGTAAGTGCACTTTTAAAACAAAAAGATTTTTTATTTGTTTATTTGACAGAGAAATAGCACAAGTAGGCAGAGTGGCAGGCAGAGGGAAAGGGAGAAGCAGGCCCTCTGCTGAGCAGGGAGCCCAGTGCGGGGCTCGATCCCAGGACCCTGGGATCATGACCTGAGCCGAAGGCAGCTGCTTAACCAACTGAGCCACCTAGGCACCCCAGTAAGTGCACTTTAACTGCTGCAGCAACCGAATTGCCAGCTTTCTTACCTTCCCCCTCCCCCACCCTGCCAGGTAGTAGAGGGAATAAATAGCTGCACACTATTGGAGACATGTTTCTCCAACCTGGTGGTGTATTAAAATCATTGGGGGAGGCTAAAAAGTACCCACTGCCAGATCTCCACTAGGAGTCAGAATCTTTGGGAGTGGGCTAAGGCACTGTAGAGAATTCAAGCTGCCTGAGTCTTTCCAATGTGCAGGCAGCATTGAGAAAACTGATTGCATCAGAAGCTGCTCCTGATTACATTTTTAGAGGACAGGGGGCATGGGAGAGGGAGAAAGCTGTCAGTGCCTGGAGGAGCAGCAGTTAGTGGGAAGGGGCTTTCTGCTGTGAATGGGAACCTGAAGGCTTGAAAGACCTTAGGAGTGTTGATTAATGCAGCAGCAGTGATAGAGGTTAGGGAAATCTCCCCGGACAGCTTCATGGGTCAAAAAAGAGAATCCCTGAGGCTGGGAAGTGGTTCTTTAGGGAGCAACATCAGAATATGAGAATTCAGGGGCACCTGAAGAGTATGCAACTCTTGATCTCAGGGTCCTGAGTTTGAGCCCCATGTTGGGTGTAGAGAGTTAAAAAACAAACAAAAAGCACCACCAAATGTTTTGGGGGGGGAACCCTCTAAATGTTAAAAAAAAATTTAAAAAAGAATATGAGAATTCATAGGCTCCCTGCATATACACACATCTTGGAACTTAAAGCAAAGTTACTTTGCAACATCAACTATGGATGGGATTCAGCCCCTGGGAGCTGAGAAATGTATCAAATGAACAAGTGAATACTATAGGATTCTTGGAAGAGATTTTTTGTTTTTATTCTTTATTTTTATTTATTTTTGTTCTTAAACTCTACATACAACTTGGGGCTCAGACTCAGTACCCCAAGATCAAGAGTTGCATGCTGTACCAACTGAGCCAGCCAGGCACACCTTGGGAGAGATTTTTTTTTTTTAAAGATTTTTATTTATTTGACAGAGAGAGACACAGCGAGAAAGGGAACACAAGCAGGGGGAGTGGGAGAGGGAGAAGCAGGCTTCCTGTGGAGCAGGGAGCCGGATGCGGGGCTTGATCCCAGGACCCTGGGATCATGACCCGAGCTGAAGGCAGACGCTTAACGACTGAGCCACCCAGACGCCCCGGGAGAGATTTTTTGTTGGAAGTCTGAAATCGTGGGACAAGGGAGGTCAGGTGAAAGATGATTGCAGAAGTAAAAGGATATATTTCCTACACCCACAATGGCCTTCTTCCAAATTTTAATCTGTGTTCACTGTGCCTAAATTATGTAAATTAAAACATTTTGGGGGCACCTGGCTGGTTCAGTTAATAGAGCATGCGACTCTTGATCTCGGGATCGTGAGTTCGAGCCCCATGTTGGGTGTAGAGATTACTAAGGAGAAAAAAAAAAGACTGATTTCCTATGATCTGGAACCCCTAACTCATCCCTTCACGTAAGTGGCTTTCTCACAAAAGATGAAGATGCCAGCATACATCACCAAACATTAAATGCATTTATAAATGAGGAGGTATAGAAGGGTCCAGGAAGGTGGGATTTGGGATAATTTATGAGTTGATGGATTAAGTGGCCAAGAGCAAATGACCAGATTTCTGGGGGAGCAAAAACTAGCAAAGGGAGAGCAGGGCCTGGATGTTGCCACACCACCATAATTTGTTTTGCTTCCAACCCCCCTGAGATATAGGGTGCTATTTAGAGTGTACTGAACACAGGTCACTGTTTCTGGCCAACTCCCAGGCCATGCACTGCTCATAAAGAGGACACGAAACAGGAAAAAGGGTGTCGTTTACTGGGAGTAGTTTAGCTTAATGGAGTACTTTAATGGTATTGTGTTTCAGTAATGTAAGATAAGAAAGTTCTGCAGATCGGTTGCACAGCAATGTGAATACAGTCAACACTACTGAACTTTACGCTTAAAAGAGGTTAGAATGTTTTTTTTTTATTCTTATGTTAATCCCCATACATTACATCATTAGTTCTAGATGAAGTGTTCCATGATTCATTGTTCGTGCATAACACCCAGTGC